ACATTTTAAAACCCTGTGTGTGTGTGTGTAATAGTGTAAGAGAGCGTATTAGAGACTTGCCTTGGCCGTGGTGCGTGCAGGTCAGAGGGGCATGGATGATTGGAGGAGGACAGGGACTTGTGGTGGCGGGGACGCGAGGAGGAGGAGGAGGAGAGGACGGCAGCGGCTGAGGCAGTAGATGTGCGGGAGCCCGGAGTGTTTAGGCTGGGAGGATGAAGGGGGAGGAACAGGAGGAGGAGTGCCCCGCCCAAGAGACACACACACACACACACACACACACACACAAATCACCACAATACATACACATTTGGGCAGGGTTCGTGTGTGGGTGGGTGAGAGGTGAGATGAAGCATGGTTAGAAGCAGCATTTATTAAAGACACTAAGGGCTGATGAGGGAGGGAGGGAGGGAGGAAGGGAGAGAGATGAAGAAGGAGCAGGAGGTAGGGTCAGAGCAGAGATACAGGAGACCAAGATAAAGGTAGGCCACTCACACAAAAAGAACACGCAAAGGGAGAGGACAGGAACAAGATAGAGGGTAAACTTAAAGAAAAATTCTTTGGGAAGAGTCAGTTTGACAGTCTAGACTATTTTTTTTTACCGCTCCTGTTCTATAAACAGTGTATTACATAAAGGACAATTTAATCCTCAATTATTGTGTTTACGATTATAGCACTATTACTTTAAAAGAAATCATGCAAATGCTGCAAGCAACTGTAATCATTTTTTCTCATTAAATTATGCCATTTATCAAAAAAAAAAACTTTACAAGCTAAAGACGTCTAATGCCCAATTCTTTCTCAGCAATATAACCATGAGCTGCAAAGATCTTCACGCGACGAACTCTAACTTGACTTTTTCTGCACATAAACAAACAGAAAGCGGGGAGTGGTACCACGGAGAGACAGAGGAGAGAGAGACAGAGAGACAGAGAGAGAGAGAGAGAGAGAGATTTAAAGAGACAGGAGTGGAGAGAAATGAGCAGTGAGGGAGAGACAGAGAGACATTTATAGAGGTCAAGCCAACAGCTGCCAATTCAAAGAAAACAAACACGG